TCTATGGCTTCCTGTTCAGGCATCCTTGGCGATTGGCCTATGTCCAAGAAAGCCCGGTTGAAACCACCACACAATATGAGCCAAAAACTGTTAGCATCATGACGAGAGCTGGCTGTGCTGCGAGCAATCATGACATCACACTTGACCATGCAGGAACCCGATTCATTCACGAGGTTAACTAGCATGCGGGTTTGTTTCTCCGGCACTCCAAAACGGTCGACCGGTCAGGACGGTCAGGCTTTCAAAATTAGCTTGCCAGCCAATGCTTACACGCATTGGCAGCATGCCCCATGGGCCCAGCTACCCCGGAAGAAAGCATCGGATCATGTTGTTCACTCACTGGCTACTCTACATCTTCTGGTGGTTCCGGCACAACTTCAGCATCCTCCCATGGCCGCCCGCAGTAGTCAACACTCATCCATCCGGCTGCCAGGACTGCCAACTTCCACCTCGGCGGTTGGCTTCGAGAATTGCAGGACAGGGCGGGTTTCCCTGGACTTGATCTACCAAATACGCACAGCAGTAGGACAGTGACGCAAATTTGGGTCCATGGTTGGTCCCCCAACAGATGGAGCATCCTTGTTTACCATCCACCTGCGCGCACAAGATTCATTTTGTCGACCGATCAATGTCATATATATGAGAATTCGTGCTTTGCAAATTCCGATGTCCAGAGAACTATCATCTCAGAAAACATGCATGCATGAGAACCACGAATAGTAGCGAGTGATTTATATACTAGCTTCGGGACACTCCTCACAGCAGGCCGGTCTAAATAACGTGCACGATATAAAATATCCGCCCCATTCATGATGATCGAGATTCGCGAATATAATTCGATCGATATCGATTGTGTCTCGATCTCCGTTACCTTCAGTGTGACTTCCTCGGCCCGGTTGATGTCCGCCACGAGGTCGGGCTGAGTGCGGTTGACATAGTAGCCACCGATTGTCAGCCTAGCCACGGGTGCCAGTCGAATTTTATAGTACATATACCGGTGGATCAGGTCTAGCGCTAGGTCTCCCGCAAAACCCGAATGGGAGAAGGATGATCCGTCTCAGCGTCTTCAGGTACTGGCACAATAAATGACCTAAGTTTGCGCCACAAACTAGGCAGTCCCCTACGCTATATAATATATTTTTGGAATCACACATGTACCAAGGCATGTGCTTCTTGGTCAGCGGAAGCTCAGGTCTTGCGGCGCGAACGAATTGGCACAGCTCACACAAAGGGTCAAGTTTTTTCCAATTCACAACCTGCCGACCGCCGAGCACATATCGAATCCGAAATCATCGAGCCGATAAACATCACCATGAAAAAACATCACCATGAATTGAATTGAAGATACTGCATATATATACGCATAATAGTATATGCATACTCGACATGCATAGCTACATGCCGTGTGCTCAAAACACCGTGTGTGCAGCCTCTGGTGAGTCGTCTGGTAAGACCGCATCGATGGCCATCTTTCTTCTTTTCTGCTCACTCTTACCTTTGTCCTCATGATCACCTGGATTGGCCTTCTTGACATTCTTATTCGACTCCTTATTACCTGACTCAGTGGCCTCTGCCTGTGTCTTCTGCTTGGGCGTGGGAGTACGTGTGACAGAACTGCTGTTCTTGCGAGCTGAAGGGGGTGTCACCTTCTTGGATCTGCCACGCCCACGCCCAGTCTCTGGTGTTCCGCGACCGCGCCCTGGACCTCGGCCCCTACCGGCGCTTGCAGCTCTACCACGTCCGCGTCCTCGGCCACGATTTCCTCGCCCCCTCGCTGTCTTCCCTGCTGCCTCTGCGTCTTCATCCGATTGATTATCTCTATAAGCTCGGTCCTCATCCTCATCTTCGGGTCGTCCCGTGTCCCCTAAGTCGTCTTCAGGCTTGCGCTTCAACGTTTTCCTCAGAACCCTTTGTGCCTACCAGGCCGACACGTACTAGCACTATAGTCGATCGATGGAGAGCTCTGGAGGTTTTTGGACCGATCGCTTGATTAAAACGAAAGATGATCATATGACATATACGCATGATGACATGAGGCGTGCCTTCACAACATCCGAAGTGCGTTCATTGCCAAACTCCTCACTGATTCTCCGAGCCATCGCCTTGGCCTGTTCTGCAAGCTCTTGCCAATTACCCTCGTGCGCTAAGGTTGATGTCAATGGTTTGCGGTCCTGCCCAGTCAACGGCGGCCGCCGTACAGTGTAGTAGCTTATAGGTATATAGACGACCATCGGCTGACGGTCCGAAACATGTTAATTAAGTTTGCTGTCTGCCTGGTGGCCTGTAGCTTCTGCCGCTCCTTGGCTTGCGGGTAGTTCCTCAGGGTGGAGCGCGCGCACGTATCGATGCCCAGGACTGGTCATGTGCTAGCTAGCTTGCACGCGTATAGACCCATGCCCGCTAGAAGCCCCACCTCTTCCGAATCTCTTTCTGCGTCATCTTTTTCCTCTTCATCCTTTTTGTCTCGCTTTGTCTCGTCTCCCCCCCCCTTCATCTCCCTTTTCCTCTTCCTGCTCCTGTTCCTGCCGCTCTTTTTCTTCCTCTTCTGCTTCCTTCTCCTCCTCCTTCTCCTCTTCCTTCTCCTCTTCCTTCTCCTCTTCCTTCTCCTCTTCCTTCTCCTCTTCCTGCTCCTCTTCCTGCTCCTCTTCCTGCTCCTCTTCCTCTTCTCCCTCTCCCGCCCCATCACCATCTTCACTTTGAGACAGGCCTAGCTGGTTGTCTGGATAGCGCTCTGGGTTGTCCCCATGTGGCTGGTCATGAAAATCGAAATCGATACCTTCAGCTTGATCATCATCAGAGACCTGCACTATGAGCGAATCGGACCTATACACGCGCACAGGTCGAAAAAAACGCACCGCACAGCACAGCAAGAACGTGTTGGACGCGTCATGTACTTGCCTCAATCAACATGTGCTGATCGACCTCCAGCTCTGTCACGGAGCTTGACGCAATGCTCTCCTGCAGGGCTATATATATGTATCCATCCAGAAATCGATGCGGCGCACACATCATGGTCTATCGCGTGCGTTGTTTTAACCATGCTTTGACACGAGCGAACCTTGCTCCAGGAAGTTGCATAGCGGCCCCGCTCTGGAATCTTATTCCCGTTCTCTTTCAACTTATTTCCTGCCTGAACATGCAGAGCTAGAGTAATTGAACTGCACGTGCATGTGCGTGAGTCACAGCGAAGCTAATGTTGCGGTTTATCGGCTTATATGACCGAAGCGCCTCCAGCTTGGCATGGATTATATCTTTGATCTCCTTCATCCGCGGACAAGTCGCTTTCGACCTGTATACAATTTAAAATCATGTCGCATGCAAGTACATTTTTTGCTAGCATACGCACTGGCTCCCACTGCCCACCTCACACCCTTGTTCTTGTTCCATCTGTTGCAACAATAGCTGAACAAAGCTCGATGAAGGCCGGCTTCAATCATCGCCCAGGCCTGATACAGCATGCGTAACATAAAATAACGCATATGCCGATAGACCTGCCTGCTATACTGCATATATATATATGGCTGCTGCAGACCATGTGCAGCTGAATCTCCGGACCTCGTGCTCAAAGTCCTCACGGAACTGCGGGTTGAGCTTGAACTTCTTTGACATATCCATCATCACTGCCTGCATATATAATTCGATCGCTTCGGCTAGCAGCGGTTCACTCACACACGCATACACAAACAACGCACACACACACACACAGTGTGTCACACCAATGGTCTATACATCTATTCTTGGCAATTCTTGGCTATATATGTTTGCCTCCATTTCAATCTTCCGGGGCAGCGAGCTGAACTCCCCAACAAAGGTCGCCAGAAACTCTGCGACCAGGTTGAAGTTAGTGTCTGACACCACCTGCAAGCTGTACGCGGTGCAAGTTGCAAAGCTAATAGTACGTACTACGTCGGCATGATTTAGTATTCAAAAAAAAGGGCCGGCCTGTTTCTCACCGACTTGTTTCTCAGCGATGTCGACGAAGGAAAATTTGCACACCTAACGCGTTGATTTTTGGCATACATGTTCGCTCGATCAGGTTTTATGCAAAACCTCTCAAAGCGCACATGCATGGAAACGCCCCAAAAATTTGTCCAAGTGGCCCGGTAGTCCTTGTCCTCCAACTTAAGTTGTTTTCTGATATCGGAACGTCGTTGGCGGATAAAGTCAGGCACCAAAATCGATTCATAGAAGTCCTGACTCGGCCGGCGGGGATATATAACAATTATATTTGTGGCACGCTTTCCAATGACATGCATGGCCCTGCTTTTGACATGTTGCCTCCAGGAGTTGCATGACTTCGGGACGGCGGCGTTTGGCCATGGACTGTCGCGAATATCTTGACATTGCTGCGCTGGTGAGGTCAAAAAATGCATGCTGTTTGCATGTGTGTGTGCATGTGTATTCGGTGATTTTCCTCCTTCATCGTCAACCCCTAATCTAAGTGAGCGGGCAACAAAAAACTGTAAATGGCAGCCAAGCGGGCCAAGTGGGTCAATCCAAAGACAAGGTCAGCTCACTGGTTGTCAGGTTCAATCTGTTTTTCACGATCCAAAGGGAGGCACCTGACTCCCAAATCGTTTGCTCCATGAGCCGGTGAGCAAAAGCAGCCCGCATGGCTGGATGGGAATTGAAAAGCGGAAGTGTCCTGAACGTTCACCTGGTACCAACGTTGAGAAATTAGAGGACTCGTCTATCGAAACTGAAGTCATCAAAGTGTTCGTCGAGCCCCCAAAACATGAGCGTCGATGATCATGATCCGGGGCATCTTGGACCCGAACACCTGCGACGCACGCACCGCCTCTAAACGCAAGTTGGAGAACCTGGGCCAGAACCTTTATAGGTCCAAAAAATAGTCGCCGTCACGACTAAAAATGTCGGCCTCGGGAAGACTATTAAATTAATAGTCGAAGAAGCCTTGGGGATCTGGTCATTCTGGAGTCATCGCAACTTTCATCTCTCTCGACCGCACCTGCCTCCTCGACCGCCCGCGTGCCCGCCAGGCATTGCAGCTTTTCCAATCGAAGGGCGAAAGCCGGATGCACGCGTTTGGGGCGCCCATCAGTCACGGCGTCCACGCCACTCTCGTGGCGCGCGGCAGAAGGTGGGGGTCTCCACTCGTCACGAAGACGTCCACCGAGGGCACGGGAGGTTCGAGGGTCTTTCGGAGGGCGAGACGCCCCGAAGAGGCGTCGAAAGGCCCAGTTCCGGACCATGTCATGTCATCGACCGAAGTGGGCTGCGCAGGAGGAGCGACCAAAAGGTATGTTCCTGGAAGTTCCAGGAAGAGGTTCGCACCGAAAGTATCTAGGTATATACCTAGCGCTTCCTGTCTGGGTGTCCTGTCTGATGACCTTTTTAAGCAGTGTAGGGGCCCGTCCAGCCAGGTCACCCCGTGGCCGGAAGCAGCTGGTATGCGTCTCTTTGGTTTTTTTAGGCCAGAGATCAACCATGCTAACCGCCCCGGTTCGCACCGCACCCGCCGGTCTGCAGGGTTCAATGAGCGTCACGTTCGGCCCCCCCAGCGGATCGCCAAACTGGAGGCGCCTCTGGTGTGCGTCCCACCTATCGCTATCGCTATAACTGGGCGTGCATGAAGTGGTCCAGCGAACTCTGTGGGGCACCAGCTTTGACGGGTTCATGGTTCGTGACGACAAACCTCCACACGATCTCGCTCCCTTCGTCTGAGGCTGACGAAGTTGGAGATCGCCTTGCTGCTGTGTCAAGGTTCAAAAAACCAAAGATTCTGCTAAGTGGGAGGGTCCATTTTGAGGTGGAAAGCGATACACTTTCTTTTTGCCCGTTGGGCCACATGTGTCGCGTCTGATTCCTTTTCATGTTTGACGGTGGAGTCTTTCAAACATCCTCTTCGAGAGTACACACACTCTTTTCCATGCGAGATGGGTGACAACAGTGCTTAAGCCACATATATAATGTGAGTTGAAGGCGCTGGCAAGCTGTCTTTTTCATAGAAGCCTTTTGGGGTTCAGTAGTATAGCTAGGACATTCGACCAACCTGATAAAGACGACCTCCTCCATTTGTGTGCAAACAACACCTTGTATTTCATTCTTCGGGTTCGCATGTTGGGCCCAGCTCAGTGGTTAGTTCGTACATTCAAGTTTCCGGCTGTTTCTGGACTGGGCACGAACGTGTTCAGAGCGCTGTTTCTTCTCCACTCGTCCGATGCGAGTTCCGCTGCAGTGACGTGAAGAGCTCTCGTCGTGCTTCTCCGACCGACGGCTCGTCGTTGACCGTCCAGGTGCATCGCCCAAGACTGCCTTCCAGGTCGGTGACCGCTATGTCGGTCTTCGGTCGGTGGAGGTCGACGAAACCTGCGGAAGCGCACATCGAAACCTGCCCTACATCGAAACGTCCCAAGGAACAGTGTAGTTTTGTAGGTTTCGATGGAAACATCATCTGGAGGAAGACAGATTCTTCCATCTGAAGCCATGAGAAAACCAACCATCCAGGAGTCACATGGAGGGCCTGGGTGGTGTGGTATGTCCCATCTTCCGGGGCCGTGGATGTGACCTGGGCACCCCAACTCCTTCCTCCATGGAGTCAACGGCCCACCGTCGCCACCGGAGCTGTGGAGTCGTGGCAGGCGGCCAGTGAGGCCTTGGACTTGCTTGAGCGGTCCGGTGACCTGAAAAGGAAGACGGGAAAGCGGAGACGTTCCAGTCCCCCTGATTGGGTGGGCGGAAGCGAGGAAGAAGCGGAAAATCTCTGTGAGGGTAAACTTGGGACTTGCTGAAATACAAGTCCCAAAACAGGGTTAGTAGGTGTCGAATGGTTTCGAGGTGTGTTGGGACTGTCACTACTGTCACCGTCCCAATCCTACTTTTGTAACAAGTTCTGGTTCAGTGTTCGTTTGGTTCGTTCGGAAGTCTACGCTGGAAAGGTCCATGAGTGAAGTGAGCAGACGAATTGGCGAGATTCTTCGATGGGAGACATGGAGCAACCGACTGCGATGAACGAGCCACCCCAGTCCTGCCGCAGCCAGGTTGGGAGACAAGCAGGGTATGGGCAGAGCGCCAGAGACTCAAACAAAGCAGTTGGAGAACGCTATGGAGTTGAGAGAGATCCGGGCAGAGCATGTGACATGGTCTTTTGATGAGATGAATCAGTACTTGCAGAACTTTTATATAACCACTCTTCAGAAGCTTTTGGGCCTTTCTCCTCGTTCTTTGTCCTTGGGTTCTCCCTTTCATCTCCTCACCAGCCAATATCAACCGGGCTCTGCCGCCTGGCGATCCGCGCAGGCTGCACGCCATTGCCATCTCCCACGTCATGGCGAAGGTCGGAGACCTCGACTCGAGCCCTCCGTCCGTCCTCCGGCGCGCGACCAGGACTACGAGGCGGCCACGAAGAAGGGATTGGAAGCACTGGAGCTCATCCGTAGCTCGGGCGACAAGAGGTGAGGGCCATGGTTTTTTGGGGTGTGAGACGGAGGTGCATGGGCTGGAGGTGTGTGATTGATGAGGTGAAGATGGCGAGGGGTTGGTTGGAAAGACAGCCAATCGCTTCGGGCTTGAAACGTGCCAGTCAGACTTTTTGCATCCATGTACTGAATGCACTATGTGTTCTGTCTTTCAACGACGGCTAGGCCAAGAACCCTGCCCCTCCTTCTCAGGCCCAGAAGTCCTTTCCCTGAACCAACCAACCATCGGGAAGTTGGGGGAAGAAGCCCAGAACACGTCTTTTTCCGTTTGCAGAAGCCCGCCGAAGCCCGACGTCGCCAGGGCGGAGGCGGTGCTCCTGGAGACACTGGTGTCCTGGAGCATCACGCAGGTGTGGCTGCAACGAGTGAAGCGGACAGCGAAGCAGTAGACCTTTCGGGTCAAGTTCCCCATGCTACACTGAGAGGGTCCCTCCAAAAAGCAAGATAGAAACTGGTACACCACCATTGAAGGAAGTTGGATCTTCCAATTTGCCTTGGCAGTTTCCATGTTCTTGGCAAAACGTTGTGAACTGGTTCTGGAAGGAGGATTTTGCCTACCCCGGGGCTACCATGTGAGAGCTCTAGGGAAGGCCCTTCCTGCTTCCGATTCATGGCCACATCGATCCGTCGGTCTTGCACCACTCGTGGAGCTCGGAACGGGTGCGTGGGCACTCCGCCGTTGTTCAACGAGGCGCACGTCTTCAGCATCGGAACGGGGCAAGTAGGGGCGGTATGCCCCACCAAACCTGCCAGGCGATATGCCACCGGAGTCCACTGGAGTCCACAAGTCTACTTCGCCTTTTTTTTTTTGCGAATTGTGGAGCGACCTGTTTTGCATCGCGATGTCAGCAATCAGGAGAAGCCCCACAAGGCCTTGGTGATGGCGAAAGAGGCACGCCACGGTCGGTCGAATCGTTGGAGATGAACAGCTTCTCTCTGAAAGATGTTTGTCTTCCTCGAATCGTTGGAGGGTATTCGCTGAAGGCACGAAGGCTGCATAGGCACAACCACTGAGCTCAAGACTGACACATTCCATAGTGCTTTCAGTACCTTGGCCTTGGCGTAAGGGGAGAGAGCACCTGTTTTGACTATCATCAACTGCAGATGACCATCAGTCCCTTTCCGGTAGTCTTAGTCGTCAATGGCAGGCTCCGCACAGATCTGAACCCGTGGAACGAATCAGTTGCTTTCCAACCTCCAGCTGCAGGTATTGACGATCCTCTTAGCTTTTCCATAGCCGAAGAGCCTCTCTAAAATTCAGGTATCGGTATCAGGATGTATCAGGTATGTTCTCTTTTCTTGTTTGGGGGGAGCAGTTGTGCCTCAATCAACATCACTTCTTGGTTGTTTCGTGTCCATTTTGTGCTTCTTTGCGCAAAACGCGAGGCTCTGGCCCTGCGTCTGGAGCTGCAAGCACCGCCACTGGAAGAGGCGAAAAAGAAACAGCAGCTGGTGCTTGGACGGACCTCGTTTTCGGATATTTTGTGGCTTTGTGGATCCATTCGTACTCACAAACCATGTTTTGTAGCAGGCAGCAATCGCCTCTTTCCGAAAGCCTGTGTTCCAAAAACACAAGGCCTACCCCTGCCATGAGCCTCCAAGCTCGAACTCTCCTCGTGCTAGGCACGTGCGTGCCTCTTGCTGGTGGATGCGCTCGCGGGGGTCGCGGCCATAGCTCGGACCCAGAAGCATACACTCCTGCAATGTGGGCGCAGGGGCCTTTGAAACAATATCTGAAGGGCACTGCCACTTCTATGTGTGGAGTATTGGATGTTTTTTGGTTGAGTCATTTTCATACATGGAGTATTGGTTGAGTAGCAGTAGTGAGGATCCACAAACCGTTTGCGAACCGTGCTTGGGCAGCCGTGCGACCACTGCCTTCCAGGATGTCCAAACGCCAGGAAACATCAGCCAGCATCCTGGCGAAACACGTACGGCTATCAACTAGCAAGGAAACTATTGAGAGGTTTTGGGGCTGCAAGCTAGCAGTTGCTATGCATCTGGTTCAGAACACCGTTAGAGGAGGTCTGGCATTTTCTAACCAAAAATGAACACCTGAACATACCGTCGCCGGTTTGGCAACACCCACACCACCGACCACCGCTCCACCCCCCGACCTCTTCCGACCGACCCACTGTGCCCTCAGTCGACCCAAAAGAAACCGAGCCGGCTCGACTGGACCTCCACCTCCGCCGTGACCCACTCTCTGCGCTGTGGAGGTCAAGAAGGTGAGGAGAGGCCTCAAAGCTGCCGAGGAGTGCTTAGATCGACTGAAGAAGGCGCGTTCAAGACCGGTCGGACACCCCCGGTTGCCGAGCCCGGACCGTTTTTGGAACGAGGGAGTTCTCCCGTTGTAAACCGGTGGGGGGGGGGGTGAACAAAGTTCAAACAGTGCTGGGGTTGGACATCGACCATGGCAGCTGTAGATATGGGCAGCCCATTGGAGTTTAGATCTCGGGCTCAAGAGAAACAAGTTGCTAGCCAAGTGGAGAAGTTCTTTCCACCGCACTCTCCCGTTAGGAGGAGTGAACATGGCCTCCCATCTCTGCCTGCTTGGGCGCAGACAATGCCACTGGAAACCTTGCAGGTAGATGATCGTGCCAATGTCTATGGGCGCGTGCACTCAGTGGAGTTGAGGGATGGCGGCCACTTCTTTGGCGGTTCAGATGAGAAACACTGCAAAGTATGCACCTGAGAACACAGACTTGGTCACCATCCGGACCGGAGTCTGTTCTGGTGAAAGGTTGGGGGGTGATGACAGGCCGACATGTGGTACTGCCCCATCTTTCTCTGTCTTTTTGACATAACAAACAACACACACAACGTTCAGTGATGTGGACACTCCAGATCGGCTGACAGCACGCAGCCGGCCGGAGCGTTGCCTTCTCGAGAGGTTGGTCGTGGTTGCGATGGCGCAGCTGAAGCGGGACCATCCGGAGTTGGCATTGACGGCCACGGATGAGGCAGTTTTTGGAGTGGGGAAATGGATAGAAGACGTGCCTGTGTATGTGTTTAAGTTGGAATTCAACTCATGTCTAGCTCGGGTTTTGTTGCACAAGAATGACCAAGGGTCTTTGAACGAGTGAGTTGGCTTCGTATTGTGTTTGGCCCGACTGGCTGGCTCTTTTCGTGGCTCCCCAGAACGGATCGCGATCCATCAGATCCATCCGATCCACTTCCGGAGCCATCAGATCCAGCTGCGTCAGAGTAACGCCTCCTTAGGTCAAAACTCTTCCACAGCGCCCGTTGTGGCCCAACACACGAGCACACACGAAAGAACAGATGGACCAAGTCCTCGCGCTTGGCCTGAACCCACCCCTCATGGGTGGTGCTTCAAGCTCCTCCCGTTGTCTCGCAGGCGATCGACATTGCCCGCGAGATGGGCGTGCCCTGGAAGTGGATCTGATGTGTCAGTGGGTGTGGTCAGAGGGATTCTTTTGGAAAGCAAGAGTGAAGGCTACAACTCCAACCCGATATGAAGGACCATGTACCCTGAAGGTATGAAGGTTTTCTATTGCAGACTCTATGTTTGACAAAGCGGCAAAGAGATGCCCAGAATCGCCGATTGTTGCTGGAACTGTTCAAAGATGGTATCTGAGATTTTCTGAAAGATATTCCCCTCTTAGAATCATTTAGAATCTAAGATTGTATACTGATGTATACTGTATTGGTAGTGCAGCGGCAGGTTCAAAACATTGGCTGAGTGCAGTTCAGGCACTCAGTTGAGATCCATTCAGGATTGATCATTCTTGGTCTTTCGATGGAGCCAGGACAGGGTCATTCCTTGAAGCACGTCCAACCTTTCCACTTCGCTGAGGATAAGCGCCTGGAAATGAACCTGCAGTACACGCAAGCGGAGGCAGGTTCCCAACAGATCAGGAACGTCGTGAGCCTCGTGACGCGTGAGCCTTCGCCTCGTTCCCAGCGTTGGACCCGTTCAGCGTCGTGCTTCACCGGTCCATCGAGTTCTGGGCGATGTGGAAGGGGTCCATCTTCGAGGAATCCGCGGTTCATGGCTGAAGCGAACGAACCACTCGAAAGTGGAAAACCACTTAGCTCAGTCGACATGGGAGACCGAACCGGCGGTTCAGTCGATGCCAGGGCCGGGAGTTCGGGTAGTCTCCGGTGACGATCCTTAAGAAACGCCGGGACACGGGGCGTGAGCTGGCGTGAGCTGTAGTAACCCCCAAGGACATAGAACAATGACATCGTTCTCCCAATCCCCACAGGGTCAAGACATGGGTTTTCTCCATCCAATCCCTTCTTGGAAGGGAGTAATTCCCTTCCTCTAACCCGCTTTCTCCGCGAAGCGATCCGTTCGCTGCGCGTCCCTGACCTTCTCCCTCCGAATCCCTCCGGGATCGGAGCCGCGCAGCCGTGACCGGAAGGTGAACGTCCAGCTGCAGAGCCGCTCCGATGCCATGGAGGCCGCCGAGGATGCCGCCGCCATCGCTGAGGACGGGACGAACGGGGCGGTGGAACGCGTGGAGGGAGGGGAGAGTGGAGAGAAGTGGAGAGTGGGCTACGACAACATGTTTGGAAGTCATCCGGTGGGCGACAGAGATACATTCTTCTGTGAATTCGATAGTACTACCATTGTATAGATACACATGATGCACATCATTGGGGGATTCTAGAGCCGCATGTGAAACCACACGTCGACCCACTCACCAGCATTGGACTCGGAGGAGGTGGCATGTTTTCTCCTTGGCCAGCACTGGGCGCCCCATTCTTGCCACATCCGATGGTGCAACACCTGCACAGTCCGAATGATGGTGAACGGTTCATTGTCGTCCACTGAGAAGGTCGGGTTTTCCCAGTGTTTTCCACTGATCCATCTCTTGGCAGGAATTGCAGGATGCCAAGGCAGAAGGGGACGCAGAGTCGCTGACCTCAGAGGGCTCCCCAAACCTGGAGGCTCTGCCAGTGCACGTGTACGGACACGAGGCCAACCAACATGCCGCAGTGCAGTAGGCGGAAGTGGACAGTTGCTCTGGGATTTCATTTTGCACCAGGAATCACCATCGCTTCGTAGGGTGGACACATGCCATAGGCCCATAGGAAGTTCCTGGATGTTAAGTGGGTCAAACGCGAATGAACTGCCCCAAGAAAGAAGGTATAGGCAAGCCAATTTTCACAGTAGATACACTCCGACACTAAGATGGAAGATATGGAAGTGGAACATGGCCTTGGGAAACACTCGTTCATGTTGCTTTCCTCAAACCGACGGTGTGAACACCCCCTTCCAAATGTGATGTGCGAAGCAGTGTTTCTTTAGCTTGGTATTTCTAAGGATGACAACTGGCCAACTGGACTGGCTCAGGTGCCTGATGTTCTCTTTGCTGGTTCGTGGCACCCTGGACCGCCCCTCCTTGGTGAAGGCGTCGGAGTCACCGGAGAAGTCACCGGCAGGGTCGAAGGATCCTCCGTCGCAGGGTCGTTTCAGGTCGGTTGGTGTGTTTGCCGTTATGTTTTTTCAGATCGAGATTGGTACCAGCTGCTTAACCGGCGTTCGGGGTGACCTGGCTGGACGGGCCCCTATATACACTGCTGAGATATAGGTTCACCTGACAGGACACCCAGCACAGCAAACCACTAGGTACAGTATTGATAACTGGCGATGGGAAGGAGAAAAGCCATGTTCGAAGGAGTCCATGTTCGAAGGAGTCGAAACCATGGTTTGAATGTAGCCCCCCCCACCTCACCTCTTTTTGGTGCTTGGCACTTGTATATGTTGGACTGTCACGCATAGTAAGCGTTACGCATAGTCATCACCCAGTCATCATGTGATGCTCCTCAGATCCTTCGCTACTTGGAAGTTTTCGGCGCCGCAGCTGCTGAGAGGCACTCAACGCAGCGAAGAAAGCTCGTGGCCTCTACCAAAAGGCTCAGAACAGGATGGCCTGGAACTACAGATGCTTGCTAAGTCGTATGCAACGGTCGTTCTCTCGTTCTGTTAGCTTAGCGCCAGTCAGAAACTGTGGTATGTGAAACTCCCAGCCTGAGATCTAAGATGAGAGAGATTTTGCACTTGCACATCCAGGACAGGCGAAGCCAAAGCACTGATCCACAAAGTCTTCTCCTCAGCTTTTGCCGACCATCAGATCCAGCGAAACGATGGGGGACACGGTCAGTTGGACTGTTGATGCTTTTGGTTGAGGCAGGTTATTCAAGTGGCATGACCTTCACATGTAGAGAAGCATCTAAAAATAGCCTAGATTGTCCATCCTGTCTGGGTGTCCAATGGAGAGATCCTTAAGTAGTGGGCGTATAGTCCAGCCAGGACACCCAGACAGGGTGCTCCTGGTAGATCGAACTCGACGAGTGGTCGTTGGATGTGGCTTTTGGTTTGACTCGGCCGGTCGGTGGCGCGATGCTCGGTCTTGATGACCGGTATTCCATGGATTCCATGGTCCAGGGAACTCGCGTGGCATCACATGGCACAGTGTTCGCAGGTCTTCGCAGTTCGGCCTCCACCGTTCGGCTCGACGAAACCAGCTCTGATCAATCCGAAACACCGTCGAATCTGGGCGAACTGGGCCTTTGGATTTCAAGAGTTCCTCCCGTTTCGCCCGTTTTTCTTTTATCACTGCCTTCGGCCCCAGGCGTCGATTCTGGGCGTGGACTCGGCCACCAGCAGCCCGGACGCCCGATGGTCGGGTCGACTTCGACCCAGAGCGGGTTTTTCGAGGTTCGACCGGAGGGTTTGAGGTTTTCCGGCATCTTCGTTTGGCTCGACCGGTTTGCGCAACGAAAAACGGCTGCTCCGCGGTCCGTTTCGAGCGCGGCTCGCGCGGCCCACGGCTCGGCTCGAAAAGGTGCCGAGGAGATGCTGCAGGTGGCCGCCGAGGCGCACGACATCTTCGAGGAGCGGCCAGAGACGAGGGGTCGGTGTCCGGGCGAGGTGGTTGGTGGGATGGTCTGTGGAGCTGGAGCTGAGCCCAAAATCCGTGTGGAGGAAGGCTGTAGGGGTCCATGGAACTGGGGTTCCGGCCCTTCCATGATTTGTAGCTTCAGTATCTATCCGATTCATCTCACTTCTTCAACCGAAAATGGAGGTCACAGTGGAATACTGAGAGAGCTGGAATACTGGCCGTCGTCCACGACCGGAGGAGATCGTCGTTTTGCGTGAGCCGGTGGCGGTTCGTGCGTTGCTTCGGCCGCCCAGGAGGAAGAGTGCATCATGGGTCAGTCGGCGGCTTTGCAGATGGTGGCCGAGGCCCTTTTCGATGCGATGGGATGGTCGGGGTCCGTGCCACCCATGCTGTACGCCTTGAAAAAAGAACACCGAAGAATCCACTCTTTCGTTCGGAGGTGAGGAATCCTCCAGGTTGAAAGCCGGAATCTCTCCCACCGACCCTCCCAGAATTCGGCCCTTCTTCCGTTGGCCCCTTGCCGAACCGACCGCTGCGCCACCCAACTGGTTCCAAGGCCCAGCTGGCGAAGGAGAACTTTGACGAGGCTTCCTCGGCCGCCAAGGACCGGCGAGCTGTTTGGAAGGCGCGGACGCCCGCGGCGACGGCGGCGGCAACGGCGCTGGCGCGGACGGACGGAATTCGTTCGGCGGTTGGTTTTTGGCGGTGGACTTCGGCGCGGTTCGTTTTCTTGGCGGTACGGTGGAGTGTTTCTTCCACGCGTGGGTCTGGCAGAATGGACCATGAAGTGGAAGGAATCACAAGTTCTAAGAAGTTCCACGCGACTGGAAAGCCTTTTGCGACTGGAAAGAAAGGACATGCGAAAATAGCGCTTGATGTTGCCTTTGTTTCTTGGGGTTCTTTGTTCCAGGTGCTGGAAAGGTCCACCCGCTTGATATACAGATATTCATCTCAGCATCTCCGAGAAAGCCACCCTGGGATGGGGGCCTTGGTCGCCTTGGCCGCGCAAAAGGAAGGCAGTCATGACCACTCTCAGCATCCCATCCCTGTTCCACTGCTTTCCACGACGAGGACCACTCAGAAGGAAGACCAAGCGAGACCGAAATGTTTAGCCAAAATGGTCAGGAAAAGACATCCATAGCACAGCAAGAGACAAGTCATGATTCATGACATCCAATCCTGACAATTACATACGTACAATTACTATATGACAGACTGTCCTGGACATGAAGAGTCCTTTCTTTCTTGGCACCCAAGAGCACTGCATTTCTTCCCCGCCTGACCCCTTCGCAGACCCATCCGAGTGAATGACCCGCGCAGGGGCTTGGGTGCCGCAAGGCGGGAATCCATGAGGGAGAGGGCCCGATGGAGGAGGTGTGGTTTTCGGTGTCTCCCAGAATGGGTTTAAGGGAACATCTACAGAAAACCATAGTTTTTTGGGGGTGAACACCAGGGTTTCCTCTATAGATGTTCCCAAAAAAATCCATTCAAATTGGTGGAGGTGTAGATACGTCCAAGGCCTCGACCGGCGGCCACGTTCGACCGGATGTAGGGGATGAAACGAGACCTCCCCCTGGTTTCAGGGTGTGATCTCCAGCACCGACGGCCAACAGGTCACCAAATTGAAACCTGTCTGAAGGGGCGCCCTTCCCAACCCTCCATTTCGGAGTCCTGTTGAGTTCGGTTCTTCCACTCAGCTGGCCGCACTCGTTCCGTTGGGACACGGGGGACCAACCACCACCGGTTTCGGGTTCGGGTCTTCCGTTCCCGTTCCCCGGCTTTCCGGAGTCAGGAAGAGGGCGATGCGGTGCTACAGCTGGCGGGGGAGCCGATTCGGACGACTTCCACCGGACAACGTGGCTCTTTGATCGGTTGGGGGAAGAGGGTCAAGCAAGGGATTTTCTTGACATGACATGGTTCAAGCAGGTTGCTTGTTGGGTGACACCGGCACATACCAGTGGCAGATTCAAGGAGGATCCAGAAGGCTCGGGCTTGCAGTTGTGTTTTCGATGCTGAGGCTCGAATTCACCTGGGCAGTACAGCAGCAAACTCAGAGTTCTGATCCTATGGAAGAGTTCTTGTCTGGTGGTTGCGGGGTCCCAGGTCTGTTGGTTGGCTCTCTTCACGGTCCTAGCTGTAACCCTCAACCAAACATAGAAGCGCACGAGATTCTATGGCAATATCCATTTTGCAGGGCAAAGCCCTAGGGCATTCCTTTGACCCACTGAAGGCTTGTCTTCTATTCTGGCATGGACTAAGGACTACGATGCTGCAGAGAAGCATGGCTTAGAGGCTGAGTCTCTAAGTATGGCTTAGTGGCTGTCACTCCACAGCTTAAGACCCAGCTCAACCCCCTTCCCCACTGTGCAGTTTGCCCCTGAAGACACACACCCCTTTTCTTCGGCAATCAGACCACCCAGCTGGCTCAACCGTCCCACCTTGGCTCCGCGCCAACGCGGCACAGGCGCAGAAGATCTTCCAAGAGGTCGGCGACAAGGCCGCCGAATCTGTGGCCTGCGTCCACCTCGCTCAGGCGCGCGGTCGACCACGCGTGGCGCGCCACGCGGCGCTTGGACCGCTTGAGAGGAGCGAGAAGCGAGACAGAAGGGATCGCGGGGTGCGGCCATTCCATTCCTCCCGCGGGGTGCGGCCTTTTGGGAGGTTTCCCTTCACCTGGCGTTGGGTCCCAGGCTTGTCTGAAGAAGATGAGCAATGAGGCTGAGGGAGAGACCAAAGAGGCCGGGAAAGCGGATGCCCAATCGGCCTGGGGTTGCTGTGCTGTGCAACCACTGTTGAGTTATCCAAAAGGGTAGGGAAGCAGGCTCGAATTCGGCTCTGCTTCTGCTTCCATTGGGAGGTTTTGAGCTCTGTCAGATCCAACGTTTCTTCCCCCCACAAAGCGAGCTGGTGCGAGCTCGGCCCAAAACGAGCAAGCTCAGCTCGCTTGTGAGGCACTGGCTTCCTTTTCCTACCGGACCTCAGCGGAGCGAGTGGTGGCCTTAGACGGCGGTGAGCGTCTCCCTCTGGCGCTTGTACATGGAACGCCGGGAGCTCCGGGCCCCAAAACCAAGGCGAGGCGAGTCAGGGTACATGCCAAAAGGCAAGACTATAGGGACCAAAAGCGCAGTGGGATGTCTCCCTATGAGTTGGGAGGTTTTCTTGAGGATCGAACTTGAGATCTTTATTGACTCAATCATGAATTCAACAGATCCAATTCCACCATGCGATGGCAGTCATCTTCACTCCTCGAACCAAAAACAGCACCAACAAGCTTTTTGCTGCCTGGTGTTTCAGGAGCCCTATCAACCCTATTCTCCCCAACTGGTCCAGTTCGTGGCGCCACGCGCTATCCGCGCCACCTCCGTACCCCCGAGGCCATGCGAGCCGTGAACGATGCCATCACCGCCTGCGAGGGAGCCGAGGGAAGGATCCGTCTCAGCCCCATGTGGGAGCCATCCGGGTGTCACCAGCTTTCCCTCCCAGCTTTCGAAGCTCACCTGGGTGGGGGTCTTCCACAAGAAAATCACAGAAACATGAACTGTTGGGGACACTCCTGGAAATGACTTTTGTGGCTGGAGAAGTGATTGTAGGACCCGGTCCCTAGGCCTTGGACAGACCCCGGTCAGCACATGGAGCCGACCGGTCCCGAGGTCGCCACCTGGGCAGCAAGCAGCTCCGTGTGCAGCCTCAGAGTGGTGAGACTTGGCATGGTGACCTGCCTGATCTCTTCCAACATGGTCATGTTGGAAGGTCAGTCTTGAAATGATCATGGTCAGAGTATGTCAGACCTCTAAAATCTGAAAAACGACGCTGGGGGTCACCTTTGGTCATCTCAGCAGTTTCTGGAGTGACGCTGCAGTCACTCAGCTGGTGTGTTCGCTGTGTCTTTCGTGTGGCTGACGCCCAGGTGCTGGCGCCTTGTTTTGGCGCGCGCAGGTCTTGGGTTTCCGAGGGCGCTTGGAGGAAGCGCTCAGAGCCGGAATGCCCAGGGGACCGTTGCGTTCGGTCAGAGGGGCGCGTCTGCTGTGTAGAAGAATTCACTCACGGGTTTCTGGCTACTACAGTCTTGGTACTTCCAGGAGGAGCCCCCTGTGATCCTGATGGATTCATACGTAGGGTCCGCAGGGTTTAGCAGGCTTCACCGTTCTCCGTTCTCCGCGCGCGGTCGCGCCTTGAGGTGGTGTGCGATGCGGAGAAGTGCTTCGAGAGCATCGCATCGGGTAGTCCGGTCGCTTAGGACGGGCCGATCCTAGCGGTGCTCGCGGTGGGAGGGGAGGGGAGGGGAGGGGAGCGAAGGCCGGGTCTTTTTGGGGGGAAACCAGTGAAACCAAAGGTTGAAGGGGAGCGAAACCAGTGAAATCACGTGAACGACCAACTGCTCGTGGACCGTTGCATACTGGCGCCTCATCCATGATGTGAAATCCCCACCCCCTTAACCATTGTTTTGAGGGGGGGCCTGAAAAATGTAACTTCCAATTCCCCCCCCCCTGAAAAGTAGAGCCTACCTGTACAGGGTTCCACTCCAACAGCCGATATAGTGTGTCCATACTTGACTGCTTCAAGGCTCAAAGAGCAAGAGGATAAGACTCTGCGCATAAAAGACACTAGCGGTCTGCACCTCTACCGTGTACGCCCTAGTCACTCTTTCAGTGGTAGCGGAGCAGTGATCCTGGAAGACCCAGGTGAGCTCCTTTCCTAGGCATAGACTTGCTAGTGGGCAAACAGCCATGGATTGGATAGACGACTGGGAAGAGCCTGATGCGGATGTGGCTTATGAGCCAGCAGCCTATGTGAATAGGCATGTGAGAAGAGAACCAGCAGCAATAGCAATGACAACACAGGTCACTACAAAGGTGCCCCCATCTTATGATGGAAAGACTTCATGGTTTTCCTATGAGGATGCCATAGACGATTGGTGTGATATCACCGAGCTGGAAGATGAGAAGAGAGGACCAGCATTGAGAAACAGATTAGAAGGAGAAGCAGCTGTATACAAGCGTGTTTTAGACAGAGATGCATTGAAGGCAAATGATCCACCAGGAGCCGGCGTAGAATATTTCAAACGAGTACTACGACCATATTTCGTGAAAGGATCAACCAATGTATTCCTGTATAGGTTCATGCAATTCGTGCGCTTCAATCGAGGATCAGCTGACATGATGAAATGGATGACAAGATTCCAGATTTTACTCCAAAGGCTTATGAGCAGTTGGATGGACATGTTAGAACCAGTCACTCAAGCACATCCACAGGTCCTAGCTCAGATGCAGGCAGATGCAGCGTTGACTGGAGTAGCACCAACGGCAGAAAGGATTCAGGAAATCATGCAGACCATCAATGGCAATATGAGGACTTTTCATCAGAACGAATTTCCTCTAGGAGAAAATCTCATTGCCTTACTCATGCTGTCACTTGCAGATTTGTCTCAGGACCAGCGAAACACTTTGACTTCTTTGATGACTCATCGTGGCAGGGTCCTGCAGCAATACACTACAACAGAGCTGAGGACAGTTTTCATTGAGATGTTCTGCACGACAAAGACTTCAGTAGACAATCCTTTGGTGCAGCCGACAGGTGCTGGAGGTAGAAGATCATTCCTCGTGATGGAAGAAGGAGAACTCGATGGTACATTTGGCTATTGGGCCGAAGATGAAGAAGATGGAACAGAAGGATGTCTTTTGGGTATATGATGAACAGAATTTCTCTTGGTTCCAGAGGAGATTCCAAGGAAGAAGAGCCAGAAAAGGCAAAGGAAAAGGTAGAAGAAAAGGAAAAGGCAAAGGAAGATCAGGCCGCAGATTTTTCAGACCTCGTGGAAAAGGAAAAGGAAAGAGACGAGGTAAAGGCCATTTTGCTGATGAGCAACAGACAACTTTTCCAGATGAGTATTATGAAGAGAATCCTTATGAGGACACTTGGGAGTCAAACCAAGTAGCATATGATGCCATTCTTGCCGAAGATATGAATGACTATCTTCAAGGAGAATATGATGATGCCAATGACTTTTGGCAACAGCTTGAAGAAGCATGGTTTTCCCACAAAGGAAAAGGAAAAGGCAAGAGAAAAGGCAAGAAAGGAAAAGGAAAAGATAAAGGAGATGGCAAACAAGATGCAAACTATGCAAATCAACAACAGCCACGTTCTTTGCCTGCACCTTCAAGATCTTCACAAGCATCAGGAGGTCAACAAGGTTTCTTTGCACATTGTGTGACAGCAGCAGCTGAAGTCCATGACAGTGAGGTGAACTTGCTGTCAGGCATGATGACCTCATGTCAAGATGAAGCTGACTGCGCGGTCAACAATGGTGAGAAGATCTTCAATGGCATGAGTGCCCCTGTGAGGTACTCTTTGTCAAAGGAGATGCTCACAAAGGCTCCTGATGGCTTTGCGCTTATGAGCGCTGAGGAAGAAGTGAAGGAGATGCAGGCCATTTCATTTTTGACTGAGAATCGCTTCCCGCCGACTATTGCAATCCTGGACATTGGATGCACTAGAGCTATGGGATCAAGGCGAGCAGTCGACCATTTTTGCAACTATGTCGACAATCACCCAGATTGTGGATTATGGTACTCTTTTGAGGCTACCAAGAGCAAGTTTTACTTTGCCAATTCCCAGAAGGCTACTTGCTCTCAGAAACTGGTGATTTACATGTATGATCGTGCATGGACGATCCACCATACAGAGTTCGACATAGTGGAAGAAGGAGAAGTCCCTTTGCTTATGAGCTTGCCACAGATGAGGAACTTAGGCTTTGAACTCAGGCTGACACCTCAACATGCTTATCTGACATCGGTGCCTCTTGGTATCAAATATTTGGAGTTGAAGGTTGTAGCCAGTACTCATCTTGTCTTGGACTTCCAAGATATTGCATGGTATCTGTCTGACGTGAATTTGCAGACTCGGCGCGAGAAGAGTTTTTACTCTCACTTCACTCACTATGAATATGGTCATATTTCTGTTGATCACAATAGTGATGAAGATGTAGCTGAACATGCATATCCTGTGGTTGACTACTGGGAAGTAGATGTTCACAAGAGAGAACTGATACGTCACCACAAGGATTATAGAAAGATTCTTTTTCCAGCAACTAAGTCCTGTCCTGTAGACACTGACTTACTGGAAGACTTGCGACTGACAATCATCAAGAAGAAGAAAGGAGGAGAAGAAATCAAGAAGCTAGATGATTGGCGCAAGGCAAAATGGAAGGACCTACAAATTGGCTATGAATGGCGTGGTAGAACAATTTTTAAGTTCAAACCAGATGCCAAAATTCCAGATCTAAAGATCAGGAAGGCTGGCATTGAGCACCGTGGCATTGGTGATCCCGATGCAGTGGTGCGCTCCTCCTCAGAGAAGGTTCCCATTGCAAAGGACAGGGAACCAGGCTTCTCGTCAGAGAAGGAAGGTGCACCATCAAGTGCCGCGGAAAAGCCCGTGCCGCCAAAGTTTCGGTATACTTCCAAGGGTTTTGATCCATTTTGGAAGGGACACAAGTCGAAACCATCTGAGCCTCAGAATGATTTAAAGGGTGATGATCTTGAGGAGTATGCTCCCTCAGAACCACCTGAGAGGCCAGAAGGTGAACTTGTAGAAATTCCTAAAGCATCAAAAGGACCATCAAGTGATAAACATGAACCACTTGAACCAGGTGATGGCGCTCTTGAGCCTAGGCGGATTTCAATCCCATTACCTGGTAGTGAAGTTGTTGCAATGACACCGGCATATAGGAAGATGTTACAGAGACTGGAGGACAAGGTAGAGCTTTATAAGCTTCATGTGAAGCACTACCATATGAGTCCTACTCAGTTTCGTAGACGTGTTTCTATGTTGAAGCTTCCTGACTCTGTTTTAGAGAAGTATGAATCAGTTGTCAGGAACTGCCGTGTTTGTAACACTTCAGTGGCACCTCCGCCACGAGCCAGAGTCTCCGGTATTAGAGCTTCATGTTTTGGTGATGTTGTTTTTGCTGATCATTGTGAGGTTGAACTTCACAAGAACAAGTATATCATCTTACTTGTTCTTGATGGTGCCACAAATCTTCTCTGGGCTACGGCACAGAAAGACCTCATAGATCAAACCACCATCCAAGCATTGAGGCAATGGTCTGATGAGAACAACTGTGTTCCAAAGGCCATCGTAGGAGACGAAGCCTTTTTCACCGATGCTTTTGTTGAATACTACAGGTTCCATGGTATACAACAATGTCCTTGTGGGCCAAGAACTCCTTGGCCGAACCGAGCAGAGACAGCTGTACGTTTGTTCAAACGTATGTGGCATGTTATGAAGGTAGATCTGGATGACCCACGTTTTCGTGGTGTTACGGTCAGAGAAGTGGTCAAGAAGGTAGTTTGGGCAAGAAATTGTCAGTTGACTATCAGTGGATATTCACCAATAGAGATAGCAACTGGAAGACGTCCACCAGATCTTTTTGACCTTGAGACCGCAAGCCCTGAGCAATTGTCAGCTAACGCCGCCGCACAAGATCGTACAAATTTGGAACTACAACGTGTGGCTTTGAGAGCTCATCAAGAAGCACGACAAGCTCAGGACCTTCGAGCAGATCTTGCAAGAAGGACTATGCCAAGTGACGGTCCTTATTTCCAAGGAGAGAAGGTTTTTGTTTGGACTCAGGATTCATCAAAGTTCAAGGATAAAGGACGTTGGGTTCGCGCCACAGTACTTGGACAAGAAGGAGCTATGGTCCAAGCCAATACTGGTAAGGCAGTGATACGTGTGAATCAGTCAAAGGTTAGACGCGATCACGATGAGTGGCATGATGTTTCCATACCGGCATTAGACGATGAGAATCCGGAGAACTTACGTGAAGATCACGAACTGTATGTTGATGCCGAATTTGGAGAACAGTCCTTTTTCTTCTGTAATGATGATCATCCTGATGTTGTTGAGTTACTTCATGGAAACAGTGGATTATCTTGGTTCCTTTCAAAGAATGGTGTTAAAGTTGCATCTCCTATGGATTTCAAGGCAGGATACAACTTTTCCACTATGAAGGGTCAAGATGGTATTTGGCAGCAACTGGAGAGATTGCAGCCCCACTGTATAGTGATCAACAACCCTTCTCCCAAACAGAACAGAGCTTCTATTTGGTTGCTATGTTGTAATGTGATTGAGTGGCAGTTGAGAAGGAAGAAACATGTGTTTGTGACTGTTCCCAAAGGAAACAAGTTTTGTTTGTTTTTGCAGAAGTTCATTTCTTCGTTGA